ACCCGTCTTCGGGCAGTAGGCGGGACACACCCTGAACTGGTTGCCAGCCAATTGCAGGGCACATGGAGACTAACAACCATCCGCGCTCGCGCTCACACTCACACCTCGGGACAATTTAGAGTGTTCAATCACTCAAATCATGCATGTTTTTAGAATGTGGGAGGAAACCGGAGTACCCGGAGAAAACCCACGCAGGCCTGGGGAGAACATGCAAATTCCACACAGGAAGGCCGGAGTTGGGATCGAATCCACGACCTCTGCACTGTGAGGTCGACGCGCTAACCACTGGGCCACCAGGCCGCCCTACCCAATAACACCCAAACCAAATTGCGTTCAGCCAAAGCACATCGAACGCAAAAGTTCTCGACAATGTTTGAGATACAATGACTCAAGAAGAACATGTTAAGACAAAGACAGAGTCAAAGGTCACCCGGTTCTTCCCAAACAGCTGCTCCTGCAGCGGAGGCAAACATCAGATGTAACGACAGTGGGCACCCACCTGGGACAGACGTGCCCAGGGCCACGAACACCACGGCGGTGACCGAGTCCTTCAACCCGACGGTGCACCCGAAATGAGAGGCCAGATCCCCGGTCACGGCTGTCAGGATGCCAATTAACGAGATGGACACAAAGAAGCAGGCCCAGCCGTTCCAGTACTCGGTGGGTGGGACGAAAGCAAAGAGCACTTTCCAGAAAACTGTCAGGAAATGCATTATGTAATCAAAGCAGGAGGGCAGGCGCTCTTCTCCGCTTTCTTCCTCATCGTCATCACCTAGGGGAAAGGTAGAGGAGACTGGAATTAAGACCGAAAAACGTGAACCATGCGTGTACTATCTCAAGTTTTGGTAGCTACTAATGGGAAGGGGAGGGGCCACATTTAGTCAGCTATTGTCCCGTGAGTAGATCATATAAAAACGCTAGTTCATCAGTGTGTGTGTGCATCTGAGCAATTAAACACCTGCAGTGATCTGATCAGTGCCGTATTAAGATGACCGATGTTTCCTAATATCGTAGCGAAAGAAGGTAACCCAAAATCTTTGAATCGGCACACGGTTGCAAAATACAATCCCAACAGTCTAAGCACGTAGATAAGTAATTTAGTGAGAGGGCTTAGTATCAAAGCAGGAGGTGCTCTTTCTATTTATAAACTCTGCACGCAAACTTAGGTGAACTCAGGGGAGAAAAAGAGTGGAAAGAGCATGTTAAGAAAAATGACACATCGAGCGTGCGAGTCATTTTTTTGTTGCACTGATATGCACGATTGCCGATCTAAAATGTCATGAAATCCACCTGAAAAGGTATAAAACAAATGGAAAAAAAATGTTTACCACAGTGCAAAAATGGCCATAAATACTTGATGGCCATTAATTGTACAGGCGGGGGAGAGCTGGCAAGTTCAGTTTTTAATGATGGACCACATGCATTTTTAATTAACTGTCTGTCTGGGATGGGAGGGGGGGGGGCAAGATATGAGCACAGAGCTACAGAAGTGTTTGCTTGCCAAAGTACTAAAATAGCAACAGCGGGTCGGACGGGGGGAAAAAAAATAATGAACATTGATGAGAGTAATATTTTCTTTTTTGTTTGACCACAGTCTATGATGGCAGCATTTTTAGCAATTAGGAGTGCGCGCTCGAACAAGAATAAGGCAATAAAACAATTACCTTGTGTAGCCCCTTCGAAAAGACAAGGAACATGGTCTCGAAGTGAAAACATGAAAACAATACTTCTTGCCCCTTGCGCTTTCATGCTTGGTGGAGAAAATGATTTTTCTTTCAATTGGATTCTTTTCAAATGGATTCTTGACAAAGTGGAACATTTTGGATACTGGACACGAGGGAAAAATGGTGGCTGGTGAGAAGCAGCTGGCAAACTAAATCGAGCCCGAGGGCAGTATCGACCTCTTCCACAGTTTTTGGTGACAGAGGAGTGACGTGTTGAGACAGTTTTTGGACGTACAAACTCACCTGCACTGACAGTGACGGCGCTAACAAATTGTTCCCTCCAGCTGCTGCTCCCCACCACCAGAGCCAGGTTCGTCTTTTTAATCAGCTTGTCCACCGTGCTCTGCAGACAGACAAAAAAACGGTCATGAAACCGCTGCCTAAAATCACATCCGGATCGCATTAAGGTGTGACAAACGCTGCTTCATATCCACATGGAGTCAACTCCTTCGATTGGAGTGAGAACCAAGTGACCCCTCTGGGGAAAAGCCTATTGTCCCGCTTTTATTTGTTTTCCACAAAAATCTGCCTGAAATTGAGAAAGATGACGTGACTTCAATGAAGGAAGTTGGAATGATTGTCGTGATGGCTTCAAGTTGAACTCGGAGACGAGAGCGCTCGAAAAGAAGCCACACCGGTCGGGGTATTGCAGTTCGATTGCACATCTAATCGGAGAGGATTAGATTTAATGGGAGGGCTGAAGGACGTAAAAGAAATTATTATAATCTAATTGCGATTTAGTTTCCCCCTCAATATCGTGATTGTGATTTAACGAGATTATGTTTTCAAGGTCCTCTTCCTGTATACTTTTTAACAAACACAAGTAATACATGAATCTGTATTACAATAAACATCCATCCATTTTCTAATCCGTTTATCCTCACAACGGTCGCAGGTGTGCTGAAGCCTATCCCAGCTGTCTTCGGGCAGTCTGGGGACACCCTGAACTGATTGCTTGCCAGCCAATCGCAGGGCACACAACCACTCGCACTCACAATCACAGCTAGGGACAATTTGGAGTATTTTATTAATCTGCCGTGCATTTTTAAGAATGTGGGAGGAAAACTGAGTACCCGGAGAAAACCCACGCAGGCACAGGGAGAACATGCAAATTCAACACAGGAAAGCCGCAACCGGAATCTAACCCTTGATCTCTGCACTGTGAGGCGGACGTGCTAAGCATATGATCACCATGCCGTTACAATAAACAATCAGGTTTATTATACGTGAATGTGTTGGTTACATATCGTACACCAAAATAAAAGCAAATGAACTGTGAATGAATATAAAGGACAGCCTATTTTGTGACGTGAATTACTTCTTGGGGAGGCCCGCCTGGTCCAGTGGTGAGTGCGTCTGCCTCACACTGCAGAGGTATCGGATTCAATTCCAGCTCCGGCTTCCCTGTATGGAGTTGTTCTCCCTGGGCCTGCGTGGGTTTTTTCCGGGTACTCCGGTTTCCTCCCATATTCCAAAAACATGCATGGCAGGCTGATTGAACACTCTAAATTGTCCTGAAGTGTGAGTGCGGATGGTTGTTCGTCTCTGTGTACCCTGCGATTGTCTGGCAAACGGTTCAGGGTGTCCCCCGCCTACTGCCCGAAGATGGCTGGGATAGGCTCCAGCACCCCCTGCGACTCTTATGAGGCTAAAGTGGATTGGAAACTGGATGGATGGAATTAGTTCTTTACTTACTAAACACTGAATTGTCGTCTTTTAATCATTCACTATGACAACGTTACCAAATTCTACTCAACCTATGTGTCGTAAACGTAAATCGGAAGTCAGATGAGAACAATAATGCAAACAATGCGTGTAGCTTTATCACTTCAATTTTTCACGTTTCATAAAACAATATATGTAAACATTTTGGATCTCACTGAACTTACCGCGACACCACATCAATAAATACATTTGAATTTGATTATCGGTCATTTAATGTTTCAGCACTTTTTAATGGAGTGGAGTCAAGTACCCGGTATTTAGTTTTGTGGTGTGAAATACATTTTTATGGGTCAAAATAGACATCATACAAACGTCGTCGTAAAGCATAAAGGTACCCGAAAGTCAGAGGACGGAAGTTTGGTTGTGAGTGAAGTTATCACTTGCGCCTTTTTTCCCCATTTTTCCCAAAGGTAGGAAACGATAAGTGGGAACCATTGTCAGT